AAGACGGTTTTTACATATTTTTTTTCCCGACAAAGTTAGAACTGCATCAAACGTAGTCCAAATTTCGAACAATTTCATCTCTCCTACAGCAATGCGCAGTCTATTCTATACGTTTATGGTTATACTCTTATCGGCAGATACAGCATTCTATTACACTCTTACCTCACAGATAAGAATAAAAATATACCTGAGGAGAAAAATAAGTAAAAGATTAAAAATGTCTATTCGGTGGATACTAATAACAAATTTAAAATTCTATTATAAATGTGTATATTCTCTCTTATATTTGAAAAATATTTGATATAAATATTTACGTCAATATAAGTAAACATGTTATCACAGTATCCACCGAGAATATAAATATTTTTATTCCTCATATGTTTTCTCTCGCAGTATATTTGCGTTTTCCCGGGCTCATCTGCGGTAATAACACCGGGTGTCTCGTATATTGTCACTTCGGCTGCTGTCATAACGGTTTGCTCATGAGTAATGGCTCGCGACCATTACTATGATGTGCTCCAAACTACATCGGAAAAAATGTGTTGAAACGCAGGAGAGCGTGCAGCGCGGAAATCCGCGACGCGAGTAACGCGCGAAGATCATTACCGCGTTGATAAGTCTGTGGCGCGTTATCCAATCATTTCAGAAAGAGTACAACGCGCGATACACCATGGCGTTTGACGCCATCATCGCGATGCGTCGCGTACACGTCAGCTGAGCTGTGCGCGCAATCCACTTGTCACCGCGGGCTCTATGCGACGCAATCTCGTTAGTAGAGAAGACAAAGGCGCACAAAATTGCAAGAGCAAAGGCCGCGGACGGCGGCTATTGATTTTAAGCTTCGACGTCGGTAATCAACAATAAAATGTATTAAAACTGCCCGAGTAATAAATTATGTGACGGACGATTCCTGTAATTCGATTATTGCGACGTCCATCAGGCGGAGTGACGGCATTAACGGATAAATGTCCCGGGCTATAAAAATTTAATGTCCGTCGAGATCTGAATACTCGTGAGATTGCTTTTCTCTTAGGCGAGTATTTTATGCATTTATCATCATTCCTGGGGTTTGACGCTTCTCGTTACGCGGGCAATAGATTAAATTCTCAACTCGTTTATCCCGCTGGCCCGTCGTTGAAATAATTCACGATTGCGCTTCGGGACGGCGAGTCCTCGTGCCCCCGGCTCCGTTTCTAATTCGCTGAATTAAAAAAAACTTGTCTCGCGGCATTTCGCTTAATAACGTCGTCATTAACGTTCAACATTCCATTTAATCAAAATCGCGGAAATGTGCGTGTCCGCCAGTGCGTTTCGCGCACTTTCGCGTCTTTTTCTACGTCGTGTCTTTTTCTACGTCACGCTCCAGGCTGATGCGCCATTAATTGTACTCGTTTGCGAACTTTCGGCCAGTTGTGACTCGTTAATTGACGCGATCAATCGGCCCTGGCGGTGATCGCGCGCGGCGTGTCCGCCGCTCCTCGTCGCGTACGCTCCGTTGATTGCCGAAGTTGGAGTCGTTAAAAAGGAATTTGGGAACGCGGCGGGGAGGCGGTAACGCGCGTCGCGCGATATTTCATCGTTTACCGCGTTACCGTTTTCTCCTTTTCTCTTTTCAGTGGCGCGCTGCCTGCCGTCGCGGGGGACGGCGAATGAAAATATGTCGCGCGAAAAAGAGAAACGCGAGTGAGCGAGCGAGTGAGCGCGTGCACGTGGTCACTTTGACATGTTTCCAGCCCGTAACGACGCGGCGGGACGCGACGCGACGCTACGTGACGGCATCGTCCGAAGCGTAACTTATCATAATGCATTACCGTCCGCTAATGAAGATTTGTGACAGGCGCAAACGCGTCGCTCGCTACGCGGATCGTCGGTGAATAACGTTAACGAGTTACGTATCAAAAAGAGACGCGCTTCCCGCGTCAGTACTTCTCTTGCAACTCTCTCCGGCGGATTTAACATGAAAATAATAATGCGACAAGCGAGACGCGTATTTTCGTAATGTGGAAATAGTAATGCGATTAGCGGCAGCCGTCTCGTCCGAATAATTTCAGTATTTGGCAGATTCGGAATAGCTCGAGTTGTAATAGAGCACAGTTCCGTGTAATATTAGAACGCGCTCCTTCGCACGCTGCGAGGATCGTATTCTGCTCGTATTGGAAACGCTAAGCGCGTCTCTCTGATTCTCAAACCGAAATCACGTTACGCGCGTGACGTTAACATCGTACACTCTCTTAAAATATAATCTTATTTTAGTGAAATCCTCTTTTATATATATAAAATATATATATATATATATATATATATATATATATATATATATATATATATATATATATACGAGGGTGGTCTGAAAAGTTTCCGACCTAACAAAGATACAAGTCATTTTTTCTGAAAATTGTTTTTTATTTTTCAACATAGTCTCCTTGTAAATCTACACACTTCTCCCAGCGATGCTCCCATCTCTGTAACCCGTCGAAATAGTACTCGGCGTTTTTCTCTGCAAAATAATTGTTCACGAAGGTGATTGCCTCTTTATTTGACGAAAATCTCTGTCCTCCGAGCGCAATTTTTAGATGAGGGAACAAAAAGAAGTCGCTTGGGGCTAGATCTGGTGAGTAAGGTGGATGGTCAAGCAGTTCAAACCGTAATTCGTGGATTTTCGCCATGGCAACCGCTGAGGTGTGAGACGGTGCGTTGTCTTGGTGAAACAGGATTTTCTTTTTCTGCAAATGTGGCCGTTTTCCCGCAAGTTCTGCCTTCAGCTTGTCAAGTAATGATGCGTAGTATGCTCCTGTAATGGTTTTTCCTTTTTGAAGATAATCGATTAAAATAACTCCATGACTATCCCAAAAAACAGTCGCCATCACTTTCCCAGCCGAAAAAACAGTTTTTGCTTTTTTTGGAGCCGGTTCCCCCTTTGCAGTCCACTGTTTGGACTGTATTTTTGTTTCAGGCGTATAATGGTGTATCCAAGTTTCATCTACAGTAATTAATCGGCGCCAAAACTCGGATTTATTGCGCCTAAACTGCTCCAACAGAGCGTTGGAAATGTTCATTCGAACACGTTTTTGGTCTAACGTGAGCAAACGCGGCACCCAACGCGCGGACAGCTTTCTCATGCCTAAATGTTGATTTAATATGCGACAAACACGTTCTTTTGACATGTTCATAACCTCTGCTATCTCTCTCACTTTAATTCGGCGGTCGTCTAGCACCATTTGGTGAACTTTGGCGATGTTTTCGTCGGTAGTTGCAGTTTTTGGACGTCCTGAACGTTCATCGTCTCCCAAGCTCTTACGGCCACGTTTAAATTCAGCGGCCCAAAATTTCACTGTCGTAAATGATGGTGCAGAGTCCCCATACACAGAATCCAACTCATCTTTGATTTGCGTAGGCGTATTGCCTTTCAAAAACAAATATTTAATGACAGCTCGATACTCGATTTTGTCCATTTTCACAAAAACACTCACATCAACTTACTCAAACGACTGTTACATAACAACTGCGAGTCCAAAATGGCTGAAACTTCGGTGAGTAACTGTCAACAGATGAACAACGAAATTCACTAGCTTTTATTTACAAGTGCTGCTATCTTCACGTTGAGGTCGGAAACTTTTCAGACCACCCTCGTATATATATATATCAGCAAATATTATCCTTAACGAAATTTTCTTATAGCTTTAGAAGGAGATATTTCTAGACAAATACACACAAAAGGGAAATATTCTGTCATCTAAAAAAGAAAAACCTCTAGTTGCAAGAAGTGCTATTTCCTGTAATTCCATATTTTAAACTTTCATCCTTTGAAATTCTTTCAAAAGTATTTCTCTTCTAGAAAGGAATAATGTTGCATTTACAATATTTTTCTAAGTGTAAAAGAGGAATATTCTTTCGCTAAAAGATTTCATCGAGAATATGGTGAAGAATGCTTGAAATAGTAGCTTGCAACTAGAATTCATTTTGGGACGAATATCTTATATATATATATATATATATATATATATATATATATATATATATATATATATATATATATTCTAAAGAGGATTCTTTTAAAATCAAAAGAAAGATATTCTGACATGTCCCAAAACGAATTCTAGTTGCAAGCTACTATTTCCAGCATTCTCCACCATATTCTCGACGAAATCTTTTAGCGAAAGAGAGTATTCCTCTTTTACACTTAGAAAAATATTGTAAATGCATTATTATTCTTCTTTAGAAGAGAAATACTTTTGAAAATATTTCAAAAGATGAAAATTTAGAATATGAAATTATAGGAAATAGCACTTCTTGTAACTAGAGGTTTTTCTTTTTTGGATGATAGAATATTTCCCTTTTGTGTGTATTTGTTCTAGAAATATCTTCTCTTAAAGTTATAAGAAAATTTCGCTAAGGATGAGATAATATTTGCGTTTAAGATATATTAAAATAGTGTTTGTATTCAAACAAGAGAAAAACAACTTGAAATATTGAAAAGACATATTTAGCGTTCACCACACACGTTCAGAATAATGTCGGGGGCGCACAGAAAAACGTAAGCAGCGAGCAAATTGACCAGCTGCAATCGATTATTCTCTTTACGATGCAAGAATAATCGATTGATCAGTCTTTTTGCTGCTTTCGTTTTTCTGTGCGCTACGGCCCTAAGGCCCTACAGAGTGACTCGGAGACGCACGTTCTGGTAGAGAGTAGTATAACATCAAGCCGGGGTCTCGTCGCAGGTATAGTCGCTTGTCGTCAACTCACTTGTTCAATATGCTGTATTTACACGAGTCGAAATTTCAACTCTACCTTCGACATAAACTTCCTAACGTCTGTATATTCTGAAGGATCAGTGTGTGTCTAAGTAAGTTAAATAAATGGAACCCTAAAAGAGGCTGATACACAAGCTTCAGAGTATCAAAACAGATGTTGAATGGAATATCGAAATGGAATATCGAAAACAGAATCAAAGTTTCGACTCGGTTATATCGATGGCAAGAAACAACGACTGTACTCACTGTATCCGCCCACGTAGATCGGCGTCCACGTGACTTGAGTGTAGACCAAGGGTGTCGCAGCGAATAGCACGGCACTGAACCACACAGCCCGGCGTACCGCACTCATTTCACTAGCGGCCTCGATAGTCACCATTTTCTCTCCTTTCAATCAGTTCTCCGTCTCGATATCATCTTCCCCGACATATCTCGCTACTACTCTAGTCGGTTTTTGTTTGTTACGCCTCTTACTCTCTCTCTCTTTCTCCCTCTCTGTCCTCCCTCTCTCTTTCTCCCTCTCTCCCTCGTTCAACTCGTCCCTTGTTCTCTCCCTTTTTCTTCCTGTTTTCCCGCTTCCGATCCTCCGGACCGAGAGCGCGCGCGACAATATGTCACAGTCACTGAATATCTACCCAATCGAGCGAAACTGTCGATATTCCAGCGTCACTTTATATCCCGTCGCGCGTCTAATAGCCGGTATTTTTATAACGTCGCGATACGGAATCGCCGGAGCGGATGGCTCGAAGGAAATTAGTAGGATATGACGTCGCGCACGCACAACATTCGCACGCGACTCGACAAGAGGGCATTTCGCTGAAGCGATTTTTCATCTTGCGCGCGTGACCGGATCGGCTGTGCAAACGGGATTTTCGAGGAGCGGACAATCATAGAGCGGCGGTAGATCAGCTTCGGAGATCCGACAGGTAATATCAGTACGTGTTAATGACGGAACGAAAAATTGGATGTATCGGAAAGAGTGCGCGCTGTTTCTTTCTTTTAAATTCACGGTTGATTAATCCCTTGTGAGCTTTAGGTCACGGTCGAGTGCGCCGATGCGGTACAATTGATTCGCGAAGCAGCGGGATTAATTAATTAAGCGCGATCACGCGTCTCCGTTTTTAATTGGTGCTCGACGCACGAGTTAAATCACGCGTGTTTGCATTGCCGTTCGCGGCAAATATGGAGATTTCATGTAACCAAGGGAAACAAAGAGAGGGACAGAGGGAGAGAGAGAAAGGAGGAAAGGCGACGACATCGTTGTTTATCAGACGCTGGGCTCTCTCTCTCTCTCTTTTCTCTCTTCTTTCTTTCTTTCTCTCTCTTTCCGTGTCATCGGCTGCGAGCTTTACGTCACGTAAAATTTTCGGTTATCACGTCGCCGTTATTCCTCCTGCCGGAGACAGAATCTTCATTTCTGCGCGCGCGAATCCTGATTTATGCATCCTATACTTCAAGTTGCTCCTCCTTGAAACGTATTACTACGCTCCTCCGGGTATAACATGAAGACACAATCATCGCTTCTACCGACGGCGATCGCGAGAGTAACGGTGCTCCTGCTCCCCTCTTCTCCTCCGTTCCTCACCCCGCCGTAACTTTTTTACACCCGTAACATGTGCCGGACCATTTCCACTATTTTCCGTCTTCCTCTCCATCCTCGGCACACCGCTAGCTCTCTCCCTTTCGCTCCCTGACGACTCTCGCGTAGACTTTCATCCGTCTTTCGTTAAATCCTCCAGTGGCTTTGCCCAGATCAAAAAGCCTTTTTCCGCGGACACGGGATCCCGTCTGCAACAAAACAGCAAAACATTTCATTAGAAGGATCTCTTTGACGGATGATCATTAAGAGATAAAGCGGACGGACGGCTCTCAAAGGAGAACTCTCTTGGAAAATGCCAAGACTAACAAGGACACGTTTGCAGAAATCCCTCATCAAATTCGGTAAGCCTCAATATGTTTTGGAGTAACAAAAAGTAAGACACGTTAATTTTTCAAATATATATTCATATGCTTAGGGATCAAACTCCTTTTCGAAAGTAATTCGATAAAGTTTGTTGTACCTGAACACTTTCAAAATCGTGAGCTACATGAACTATTGTACTTGTACTATTGTATTCTATATACATATTATATAAAAATATAAATAAAAATAAAAATACGCCCGTACCAAAGTTATATAAATATCATGTCGAATGAAGTGGAATAAACTGCAATAGAAAATTTTTGTACTTTATTTTGCTTTATTGTATTATATTAGAAAATATAAAAATGCATGTGTATTACATAAAAATATTGTACAAAAAAAATAAGATACAATAAAATATGTTCTGTTTCAGGTCGTCTGCCCCTACAAGAAGTAAAATTAAACTCCAGGACCAAACAAAAGAAGACGCGATTCAATCATAGAAACGAGCAAAGATATGGACATCGCCAAAGCCTAAAATATACATTAGCCTAAAGTATACATTATATTCTATTACACTAAGTTGCATTATATTATATTGTACATTAATAGAGAATATAAGTAAAAATAAAGAGTTTTATCAATAATTGTTTTTCTTATTTATTTCACATATCTTCCTATTCTCCTGCATCTTCAACGCGGAAAAGTAAAAAAAATGGTAGTATGGATAAACGATCAGTCAGATAGGAAAACATTTATTTTGTATCAGGAGAACGTCATCGGCAAGGAGAAATTATGAATTTCTCGACAAAATTTCGGATACCTCTTCGCTGATCATCTTCTCCTGATACCAAAACGCGAAAATCGGTTAAATTAAATTGAATTCTCCAAGTTTCCCGCCAAAACTTCGGATACCTCCTTGCTGATCATGTTCTCCTGATACCAAAACGCGAAAATCGGCGAAACTGAATTCTCCAAATTTGAATTTCCCGTCAAAACTTTGGATACCTCCTTGCTGATCATGTTCTCCTGATACCAAAACGCGAAAATCGGCGAAACTGAATTCTCCAAATTTGAATTTCCCGTCAAAACTTTGGATACCTCCTTGCTGATCATGTTCTCCTGATACCAAAACGCGAAAATCGGCGAAACTGAATTCTCCAAATTTGAATTTCCCGTCAAAACTTTGGATACCTCCTTGCTGATCATGTTCTCCTGATACCAAAACGTGAAAATCGGCGAAACTAAAGTCGGTTAAATTGAATTCTCCAAATTTGAATTTCCCGCCAAAACTTCGGATACCTCCTTGCTGATCATGTTCTCCTAATACCAAAACGCGAAAATCGGCGAAACTGAAGTCGGTTAAATTGAATTCTCCAAGTTTGAATTTCCCGCCAAAACTTCGGATACCTCCTTGCTGATCATGTTCTCCTGATACCAAAAGGCGAAAATCGGCGAAACTGAAGTCGGTTAAACTAAATTCTCCAAATTTGAATTTCCCGCCAAAACGTCGGATACCTCCTTGCTGATCATGTTCTCCTGATACCAAAACGCGAAAATCGGCGAAACTGAAGTCGGTTAAGCTGAATTCTCCAAATTTGAATTTCCCGCCAAAACTTTGGATACCTCCTTGCTGATCATGTTCTCCTGATACCAAAACGCGAAAATCGGCGAAACT